ACGGCGTACCTGTGGAAAAACAATCATGAAGACACCCGAGCCATAAGAAGGGTGGCAGGGGACACCATAACACAGCCAAGATCAAGAGCAGGCCTAGGGATAATCGATTCGGAGGAAGAAATAAAGGCGTTGGTGTTCAAATTTCTGGTTCGGCTCCTGTTGGGAAACAATATCCCGTGGGCCCGGTATGCACACATTCAACTCGGCTACCTGGCACCACCCTCCCACCCGCAACACCCAGTACACCCCCTGCGGTGGTTAACCAACAACCATTGGTCCATCCCAACTGTCCCCAAAACAGATACGGATGACTCCCCGTCGGCCAGGGCGAAACAAGAACTGCGGATCTACCCGCTGTGGGCTGCTATGATTAAGCTATGGAGAGAAAGAGGGCCACAACGTTCAGCCACTCCAACTAGATGGGAGGAAACCTGGCGCCAGCCCGTGTTTGGCCATCAACAGATTCTGGACCATACAAACATGCCCTTCTCCCTATGCGGCGAATCGAGATTGCTGAACTGGGTAAAGAAGGGAATATACACAATTGGGGACTTGTGGGATACAGAAACAGGCAACTCAGCAACGGTCGAAACACTTAAAAGGAGAACGGGCCTGATCAAGAACATGGCTCAAAGCCTACAAGAGATCCAAAAAGCGATTCTGCTAGCCTGGATCCGCACCCTCAAGGGTGGACCAACAATCAACACTAACGATTGGGTAACAACAGTGGACGCCCTACCCCTTCCCATGACGGTCTATAAAGTAAAAAGGGTAGTGGCCGCCGAAGCCAATCTACTTGCATACTGCCCGGTGAATCCGGGAGAGCGATGGTCCAAACTGCAAAGAGTCGACGACTTGGACAAGGTCTGCTCGCTCCCCCTGCTCATCAGAATGAAGGTGGTGGATGATCCGAAGGAAGGTCTCTTCCTATATGAACCATCCACCCCCCTCCTCCTACTGCCGTTCGACCCGACAGAATGGAAATGGACAGGGCAGGACTTACACCCCATGTCCTTTTGGCAATACACCGTTAAAAAGGGATATAGGAGGGGCTGCAAACATGTCCCGGTCATGGACAACATTATCAGGAGATGGGAGAGAGACTCCCCCCTGACAAGACAGGACCTTCAAGACCTCAAATGGTCCTTATTATGCAAGTATCAAACCGACAAACCATAGAGCCCTGCAGTGGCAGATTATCCATAGATGTTTGCCGACTCCGGACTGGCTAACAGCGAGAACTGACCTCGAGGAGAAGGGGGTGCTCTCCCCTATATGCACATACTGTACCCACTCCCTCCCCAGGAAGAGGGCCACACTCGAGCACTGTTTGCTCGAGTGCCTGATGGTCTCCCAGCTAGGGAGCTGGTGGGATGCCGCTTGGCATTACCTGACGGACGAGCACCTGCCCTGGAACACTCGCACACTATTACTGGGTGACCTTCCCCAGGGTGGAAATGCATGGTCACCCTTCATGGCCAATCTCTTCTCCTACACCAGACTGACAGTCCTCATGCAGGCCTGGATAATGCGATGCTCGTTCCAAAGGAACCAACACACGTTCGGAGCCATGCTGGCACGAATAGCAGTAATAGGCACCATCACAGCCAAGAATCAGCAAGCCCATAAAGAACTGCGGGAAATGCTAAAGAAAGAATCCGATACAGTTAAAAAACAGGACTTGACTGACAACTTCAATCTAACATGGACGGACAAATGAAACAGGCTATGCAGCCTGGACCACAATGCTCACCTGCAATGGCAACCTTGGCCAATAACAGAGAGACAGTGGGGACGCTTACCACAATCTCACTTTCGGGTGGACCATATACCGACAAACTTTGTTCTTGTATCCAATGGAAGCCCAGATGATCAGCCCGCTTAGCCCCTCCCTGTCCTCATATATGCCTTCAACCCGCCTCACCCGCCCCTGTGTCACCCTAACCAACCCGTCATGCCCATCATGCCCATTGCGCCCATCTCGCACCCCCCGTTCACACCACCCTCTCCCACCCTTCTGCCGGTCAAGGACGGGTCTCCCAGGCCATACAATCAGGAAAGGCAGGGTTCAAGAGAAAGGAACTCCGTCAGCAGGAGAGAGAAAGCTGGGCAATCAGGGTGACTCGGAGGATTGGGGGGTGGGGGATAGCAACAAAAGGGGCACAAGGGACTCAGAGAGACAGAGAAAGGGCCAAATACAGCTACAGTTAAAAGAGGACACAACAGGGCTAAGGTGGTCCCGGACATAGGCATGGCCATAGGGTCAGAAACAATAAACATTGCACACAACTTCAGCTCATCAGGAGCTTCAACCAGCAAAAGAAGGGTGGGGGTAGGGGAATGGGAGGTAGGCTTACCTACTGGCCTGCTTTAGGATGCCAGTAGGCAAGCTACTTAGGCTGCAGGGAATTGGCGGTCCTGACAGCTTACTGTCATTACAGGTACAGCTAGGGTTAAACAAATATCTGCAATAACTCCAACAACAACTGGGTGTGCAGAACAGTAGAGTCGGTGATCACTTTTCCTGTTAGCATCCACGAGATCAGTGTGTACTACCGCATACCTTAGACAGCCAAACACGCCAGCAACTCAGGCAACTATGTTCTTCTACCTGCATAGCTTCATAACTTCATCCCTTATAGGTAAGCAGCTTACTATCATTACAAGTTCAGCTAGATCCAAACAAACAAGTGCAACAACAGTAACACCAACTGGGTGTACAGAATAGCACATTCGAGGACCGTTATATCTAATAGAAACCAGGAGATCTGTGTATACTACCACCTACCTTAGACAGTTAAGCAAGCCAGCAACTCAGGCAGCTGTGTAGTTCTACCTGCCTAACTTCATCCCTTATAGGTGAGCCAGAATCTCGCAGTCAATACAAGTGCATGTATACTCACACAAACAACTACAATGTTCTGGGACGCTGGACCTGATTTCCAGCAAGTGCTGCTCCCCACCAATAGATGGAGCCTCCCCGACAGTGCTAGGGGTGCCTGCTCATACCAGCATCCCTAGCATCGGCTAGGGTTGTTTCCCACCCCCACAAAAAAAAAAAAA